CCAATCACTTTGCACTCTGTTGCCATGTTGTTCCACGCCAATATTATTATAGTATTTGCATTATACTCCTTCAAATTAATCACATACTAATACAGTAATAGTACATTACTATGTGAAAAACTCGCCGTATGAAAGAAAAATCACACTACCGCTTTTAAGAAGTTTTGATGCAAAAGTAGGGAAAACTGTCAAATACGTCCTCGAATTTTCACAAAAAGGTCAAAGAAGTCCTATATCTCTGTCGGGCCGTCGCGATTTGGGGCGGTTCCCGGTGGAATTTTTTTATGAAACTTTTTAAGCATCTTATTCATCAAGTCTAGTTTACTCATACCAAATTGCAGCTAAAACTTCAATCGGGAACACATTCAAATTAATTCTTGAAGATAATTGCTCATTTAACTGCACAGTTATCTTCTAGAATTATTTTGAATGCGTTCCCGATTGAAGTTTAAGCTGAAATTCGGTATGAGTAAATTGATGAATATGATGCTCAAAAAGTTTCATAAAAAAATCCATCGGGAACTTATTTGATCTGTTTTTGAAAGTTCGAGTACCTATTTGACAGTTTTTCCTGCAAAAGTATGAAGGGAAGAAAGATCAGAGAGAAACACCACTTGGAACCTACGGATCATACGATCACACAGGAACTCCCCACATCAGATAATGAAATCGGTTGAATTTTCTATTCAAAATGTGATGAATTGATATGATGATATGATTATTAAAAAATTAAAACTGAATTAAAATGATTCAAAATCCAAAAGATAATCAAAATTACGCTTCAGAACAATTGGTTGGGGTACTTCCGAAATGAATCCGTCTTAATTGACATGCTTGGAGATGATTTTTCTTTCTGAAACAATATCTTTTACATAATTGATGTGAATTTCCAGCAATTCACCATATTATTGATGGAAATTTTCAGTCAGGCACTTAGGCGGGGTTATCTGTTCCCTTTTCTGCCAGAAACTCACACCTTGTTTGTCATCGGTGCCTTTGTTCACAAACTAGAGCCCAAATGTTAGATTATGTTATTTTGATTAATGTTTAATTGGTCCGTTTTAGTAAAAATTCTAGATCCAAAAAATGATTAGTGATTTGAAGTCGTTTTGGATCAGAAGCGAAAAGAGGTGGCCTGGCTTCGAGAACTTACTGGAATGATGTGAGCAGTTGGCAAACCTTTGAGCGTTTAACTTGTTATCTCTTCTTTATTATGGACTAAAATGTAAATAATAAAACTTTGTATACTAATATGAGTAGGATGTTACGTGGCTTTACATTATAATGTGATTGGCTGAAAATATTTGGGTACCGGTACATACTTAATTTTAGAAGGCACGGTAGAAGAACCCTTTTTATAATTGTATCATCATTTTTATAGGGGCTTACATTATGGTTATGGATAAATTTGATTATATTAAGATCTTAGTTTCACGCTACAAGGTCAACCTTACAGAAGGAGTAACACATAATCTTAATAAGGCATTTTATTACTTTTAGAAACTACCTGTGTAGGGCTTCAATAGAAGTCATCTTCACAATGCGAAGGCTCGGAGAAGAATATCATCTTGGTCCAAAAGGTTGAATGTCCAACCCCAAGCCCCCCACCCTGACCCGACAGGATGGTGGGGAGGTTAATCACGGTGACTCAGTCAGCAAAGTGGCGGTAAGCCTTATATACGTGCGAACCAGAGGTTCAACCTTATTTCAGGTTCTGTAACCTGTGCACGACCGTTGCAGGTTTCGAACCTTGGTCAGTTGGTCCAATTTTCCCACCACTCGACCAACTGAGCTACCTGTGCAGGTTCGGAGAAGAATATCATCATAACAATATATAGTAGACATGTTTTTTTTTGTCTAAATTTTATGCTCTCAATACTTGAACTTGTAACCTTTAGATAATTAGATCGCAAAGTAACGCCTTAACTGATGCTCCAATACCTTACATAAATTGAATCTTGAAAAGCATAAATTGAAGAGTCCAAAACCAAAACTAAATGCAAAAATTGAACCCAATCGTAGTCTTTTTTGTTTAGTTTCATTTTCCGGTTTTCAAAATCGAATAGAATAGAGAGAATTCCCTAAATAGGAGTAAAAAAGTTTTGAAATTCCAAAATAGGACTATCATGTTTTTTATTCCCTGAATAGGAGTAAATTTCTGCCAAGTTTGGCATTACTAGGCTTTAAGCATGGCATTTTCTTCCAAACATGGCAGATTACTCCTATTTAGGGAATAAAAAACATGATACTCCTATTTTGGAATTTCAAAATGTTTTTGTTTAGGGCAATTTCTAAATAGAATAAAGCGAACTGACAACAATATGAATATTTTTCTGTTGACCGAATGATTTTTTCGTTGCTAGTCTTTCATTTTATAGTGCTAAAACATTGATGTTTGATGTTTTGTTTATTGTAATTTTTTATTTAAGATACTAAGTTGTTAGGTGTATTGCTCAATTGAATTTAAAAAGATTGATTTAAAGTTTTTCTGCTATAATACAATCATATCAATCTATTAATTTTGGAAAACTGTTAAATAAACTCTCAGGTGTCCTAAACAAAAAACTTGTACTCCGTATTAAATAATCACCCAATTAAGTTCATCAACATATAAAAAAATGCTCTGACAATTTATATGTTAGGCAACTGATTTTCCAATCAAACTAATTGCCCACTCATATTACCCTTAGAGCAACTCCAATGCTAGGAGTGCATTGGTGCTGATACGGCTATAAAATGAAAATGGTCTATTTGAAACGTGGGCCATTTGTCTAAGAAATGAGAGGGTCTATAGAAGTGGGTCTCCAATGCCAAACAAAAAAAACTCCACCTCCGTAAGAAAGAGAGCCAGCCAACACTACGGAAGTTATCCTCTGTTCCAAGATAGGGTGAGTCAGCTTCACCAGGTCCATATTTTTTAGCATTGTAAACTAGATTTTAAATTAGAGGGTCCATTAGCTTATGTGGATTGCATTTTAAGAGCAATCCATCTCCACATTGGAGATGCTCTTAGAGCATCTCCAATGCACCATAAGTAATTGGCAACACAATGGAAAAGGTCTATTCCATGTATGGACTAATTTTCTCAAAAATGATAGGGTCCATTCAAATTGTGCTCCAATGCAAGAAAAAAGTTAAAGTGAGTGCACTCTCATCCAAACCTCCAAGGTGAGATAGGACCCAACCGGTTCGGCCCGGCCCGGAACCGACCCGGCCCGCTACAGTGCGGGTCTAGACCAGCCCGGTTGGTGCTAACCGGGCCCGGGCTTTTACCCGGTTGGGGCGGGTTGGGCGGGCCGGGCTCGGACCACGTTTTTCTTGAACCGCTCCGGGCTTTTTTTTCCATTTTTTTTTGTTTTTCCTTGTTAGAGCTGGGTGTATGAGGGGGTTTGGGGGTGGTGGTGAGGGGGGGGGTCAGGGTTAATTAAAAAGCAAAAAAAACATAGAACCGGGCCCGGCCCGAACCCGGTTTATATCCGGACCGGTTCCGGTTCACCGTTTCCCAAAAAAAAAGCCCGCCCGGACCCGGCCCGGATCCACCCCTAAGGTGAGACACAAGGTCCATATATGGACCTCATGCTAGACCTTGTCCCTCTTTTATGATTGCCAACTAAGCATGACTAGGTCCATTTGTTTTTCATTGGAAACTACATTTGTAAATAAAGAGTGCATTGGCTTATGTGGAATAGCAATCCATCTCCACATCGGAGATGCCCTTATATCTCCAACTAGGCACTTAAGTCATATGCACCACAGTTTTAAATCATTGTCAGAAAATTTTATGACAAAAAAAAGTGAGTATGACAAACCTTTTCTATAGTATTATTATCTCTTTGTTCTACACGAATCTTGATTACATAATTTTATCTATTTGCCTAGCTAACTTTTCTTCGTCAATTGCAATCAACTTTGACTAATGATATTTTTTAGTACAAAATTATTTTTAATATGAATATTATATCAAATTGTTTCTTATTCAAAATATTTTCATAAAAGTATAAAATTGACAAATTATATACAAATATAATAATTAGGAAAAATTGAAAATAATAATCCCAACTATTGCCGGTCCGCTAACTATAATCCCAACTATTGATTATTTTTGTATAATCCAACTATATGGACCGTCCGCCAATAATGATTCATGATCGCATATTACCTGCTCTAACAAGTGTATTTTTAATAGAAATTAAGTGTAAAAATTAAAATTTAGGATTATTTATAGGGATTATCTGATATATCTCTTTAGAAACTATAGAAATTTATTTATCTTCAGTCACGTCGGACCATTATTGGGGGAAGGTCCCTAAAGTTGAAATTATTCTGAAATAATCGATAGTTGGAATTATTATGAGCGGATCGCCAATAATTGAGATTATTACAATCAATTTTTCCTATTTAAAATCATTATCGAACATTTATCATCATTGACTAAGAAAAGTGAATATGACAAACCTTTTCGGAACGTATGTAGTATTATTATCTCTTTCTTCTACACAAATCTTGATTGCAAACTTTTGCAAACTTTTATGAGTTTTATCTATTTTACTTCTCATTCCAATCAAACTTGGCAAAATAATGGGTGTACAAAGAAGCAAATAAACTTTTACACCCCGTCTTTATTATCTTGTTTTCTCTTACACTGCAGTAAGTTGCTGAAATAGTGAAATGTGCAAAGAAAAGTGTCATGAAACTGAAGATGATCCAAATTAACGGTTTAAATGTTGCCACGTGATCTCCCACGAACCCCACGTAAAATGATCTCTTTGCTGAATTTCATTGTAAAATCATTGACACTAAAGCCGTTGGAGAAGTTAACTGAACGGGACCCAACCCAATCGAATTTGGTCTTATTATCCATTTATGGCTTTGTAAGTATATTTTCAAGTACTTCCAGTACAAACTTGTGCTAAAAATCAGATAGATTGTGATACATGAGAATCCTTCTGAATAATGAGAGCAACTATTCTTTGCAATCCTTGTGAATCTGCTAACGTGTATGGAAAATTTAATCAATGTATTTAATTAATAATGTATGTTAAGCTAAAACTTTAGAAATAAAATTACACAAGAGAAATTCATAATTATACGGATATAGATACACAGGCCAGGATGTACATACACAAGCTAAAACATTTGCTGGCTTAGGGTGTACAGATCACAGTGTAACTTTCAATCCACCTAGGGTGAGGCACGAAGGAACCGAGTTCGGATCTGGTGCGGTTACAAAAACCAGTGTTGTTGACGCAATGTTGATCACGATAAAGGGCTGAGGATCATGATTGAACAACTGTGCTTCAACAACACTGGTGCTACCCTATGGCCTATACCTATCCCTCAGAGAATTATCAAATGGGACCATCTGAAGTCCTTTTGATAATTTGACACAACTACAGGCTGATTCAGATACATGAAATGGAAATTAGCGGTTTTTACTCTTCGCTTTTGTAACTCTTGATTTGCCTAGTTCATCACACGGTTTCCAGATCAGCTCCTCAAGATTGCCACAAAAGCTCTTGTAAAACTGCACAAAAGAGCGATTTTTAGAGTACATCATCAGTACTCTACAACTCAAGCTTTGGGAATGAAGAAAGAGGGCAATTTTTAAGTTAAGAGATTTAATTAATATATATGGTCGAGGGTAATGGTAGTGAATACTCCTAATGTCCATTATTTAGCTTCCAATTTGCATTTCTATTGTCTAGCAAGACCTCAGTTGATATTTTTTCTTATACATAATAACATAAATAAGAAAATATGGTCAGAGTGTAGCCATACAAATTGTAAAGGAAGGCTTAGTATGGGACACAGGGAGTACATGATCAGAACACTATGTTTATAATAATTTATATTGAAATAAACCCCTTTGTCAAATAAAGTGCCCTATTTATAGTATTAAAAAAAATGTCCCAGAAGAGTCATGTTTAGGACAATTTTTTAGAAAACTATATAAATAGAGTAACAAGTTTCGTATGATAAATTTAGGTAACCAAATTGTTAATGGCAAGAAGATAGTATATGGTTTTGGTCTTCTGGAAGGGAATGCCAGCAAATTAAGAGATTTAAATATACTACGTGTAATTTATGCTAATATTAAAGGGCATTGAGTTTGTTTATGCTAATTGTAAAAATGTTGGGTAAAATAGGCCTTACACCCTTGTGGTGGGACCTTTCCCTAGACCTCGCTCGGCAGGGACACTTTGTGCACTTTAGTTTGTATTGACTTATCATTTCAATGTTTGATAAAAGAAGGGCAGCCTCGTGCACACTGGCATCCCCGCAAGCGAGGGTCCCGGGAAGGTGCCACAAGGGTGTATAAGGAGGCAAGGAGCGAGCCTTCCCTAGTCATTTTGACAAAAGGCCGCTCTCAAGACTTGAACTTGTGACCTCTCAGTCACACAAGAACACCATAAACGGTGCTCTAAGGCTCCTCAAATTTGAGATATTTAAATTTGGATAATAGATATGAGAAAATAACTTAGAGTGCGTTCTTAAATCCTAATGACTCCTCTCTCTGCAAGAAAGAAAGCAGTAAGAGGACTAAATACTCTCTCTTTCAAATATTAGAAATAAATTTATACTTTTATCAGTAGTTTTCAGTACTCCGTATATGAAAACCCTTCTTTTCATTTTCTATGCACTCCACCTTCATTAAATACAGAGTACATCAGTTGCCTCATTTTATTTGTTTTACTTGTCATTTCCAAAATACTTCAGTCTTTATTACTAATCATATTACCGATAACTTCATAATGTTCTCAATTCACAATATATTAACTGTTGGACCTATTTGAAGGGAAATTTTGTAAAGTAAAACACATTTGCAATCGGGGAAAACAGAAAGCTTAGAAAGTAGTGAACCCAAATTGGAAACTAACCTTTTCGTATTCAGTAGGATCTCCAGATGCTTTTTGAATGTCAACCATGAAAAATGTTGGAGCTACTTGGAAGATCTGCACAACAGAGCATTTAATTCAACCGGCACACATAGTATCCAGGCGAGATTGCCATTTAAAAAAAACCAAAAAAAGTACCTCCATAATTACAGAGAAGTGTGAAGTCTTATTTGAGGATAGTCTTTCCACTCTCATCTGAGGGATAGTGTGAGTTCAAATGTAACAATGTAAGCAACCATAAACATAGCAGGGAAGAAAGGCATTGTGAATTTGCTTACGGACTGTTAGATAGTAGAATGGAAGGATGAAGAGGTGTTGGGGTGGGAAACAGAGTGACAAATAGTTTTCAGAAAAGATTAACACAATCATCAGTATTGAAGTTCATGTGTCCACCTTATAGTTACGAATGTGAGTCTTGAACCCCATCGACTGAGCAACAACTTCCATAGTTGATAAGGTAAGCTTTGCAGGTTTCTGTGTAAGAAAGCGTGTCTGATGGTTGGCTGAATCCTGTAAATGGTATATTCAACTTATCAACGAACATACAAATTCATTTATATTAAGAAAGTTCTTCCTCAAAAATGTTAATTAGGTTACGAAGCTTATTCAAAAGACCTAACAAGTTTAAAGTAAATTAACATGATGCCCATTCTATTCAACTAATAAGGAGTAAATTACTAAACCTTAATACAGAATAACACTTAAGAGGATAATCGAAAAAATTCTCCCCAACGAAACTACATGCATAACATGAAGATGATAAATTTGAAATTCAAACATCTCCAAGCAAAAAATAGAGAAAGGTAAAAGAGAGTACTAAAAGACTTATATTAGATGATGTGCGTTGGTTACCTGCTTAGGATCAAACAGGACTGAAAGGTTTAATCCTTCAGAGAGGATAATTAGGTCAAATGCATTGAGAGCTAGAGGCCCAAAATCCTCATTGTTGTGTTGCTCATTAGGTCCACCCTACACAACAATATGAGTAAGATATAGGATTATATCGCCATTGGAAGACCACCTAGCTGATTCCTTTTAACCAATTCATTTTATTTGACATTAATTATAATTATTTTTAATGGGGACATTAATTATTTAAGCAAAAAAGGCGTGACACTAGTGGCATGCACGAGGACACTAGTCCAAGAATGGAAGAGCTTTGCAATAGTCTTCACAAATCAGAAACACTTGCATGTTTATTCTAGTTCACTACTTCAATGCATTAAAAATTTCATTCAGTTCTATACTGTTGGCACGGAGGCATGTCTACTTTCAAGTTGCTTTTCTAGTATTACGTACTTTCATCACTTTCATGCCCCCGTGTATTAAAATCCTTTTCTGTAAAAAGATTATCTAAAGGTCCCGTCGAACCCTGTGTAATCCCTGACTAGATTCTAGGCCCCAATTTTAATAGGGATTATCTGAACTGATGCAGATGACCTATAATGTACATGGTATACAAGACAAGAACATTAAAGCAGTATTAATGTTTTAGCTTTATATTCACACCAGCTTTACGCAACCACATTCTTATTGTTTCATTTAGAACAAGATATCACATGAAGTGTTATAAGATGGCAATATCAAGAAACTAAAGCAATACCCACCTCAGTATCATCAAAAGCTGCATTAATGTCATCTAAATTAACATCTTCATACTCTATGATATTCACAGGAATATAATCCTTCTTAAACCATTCATCATTCCTGATCGCTTCAACCTGGATGCGCTGTTAGATACAGCAGAGGTGAAAATCACTAAGCGTTCACCCAAATAATAAGCAAAGGATATCTATCATTATACAGAAAAACTGAAGCCTTATTACCACAGAGTATGCCACTAGCCTAGCTATTGACACCAAAATGTCTCAAACTATGTTATTTTTATTGGTAAATTACCACACGTTTTTTGAGGGACAATGAGAACATGCACTTTGTCTGTGTATAAGACAAAGTACTTACTTTTTCAGGATTAGGGTCTAGGATTTTATGAATCAAAGATTTTGCGCCCACTGGAAACCATGATGGGCAAGAAAATTCAGCTCTCTCAATCTGCAGAAAAGATGCAACTTAGTAACAAAATCTTATTTGAAGCAGAGCTCTTCACAATTAGCTAGCAGCCTAAAAATGAATAATTTGTGAAATGGTAACAGCTACGCATGTCAAGTGTCTAATTTCTTAGTACCTTGCCATACAATGTAGTGAGATCGACATCATCAAAGGGGAGATAGCCTGCTATCAGAACATAAAGAATGACACCGCAGGACCAGACATCTGCCAATGCCCCATTATAACCTCTATGGCTGAGAACCTGTATAAGAAAGTAAGGCAAAAAAGGAAATTTTCTCATATTAAATCACTAAGACATGGAAATAAAGCTCAATCAGAAGTTAGCCTTTTATTACCTCTGGTGCAACGTAGTTAGGGGTTCCACATGTTGTCTTAAGAAGTGAAACACCCTGTGCATGAACATTACAGTTAACAGCATATTGACTTTCATAATATGAATAAGCACACAAAGCCAGTGATGGTCTTTAGAGCCCTACTTGATCAGGATATGCACTGAGTCCAAAATCTGAAATTTTCAAATTTCCTTGGGAATCTAGTAGAAGATTTTCAGGCTGCACACAATAAGAAATACCAATAAGAGATTGCTGAAATGCATAAGAAACCTATCATCTTGTGATTCTTATCTTTATGGTGAATAATAATCCCAGTATGCACCTTCAAATCTCTATGATAGACACCCTTAGTATGACAATAAGCCACACCATCAATGAGCTGTTGGAAGTATCTCCTAGACTCAGCTTCACTTAATCGGCCGCGATGGATCTACAAAGGGCGGTAACGTCAGGCTCTATCTGAATATGTCGAACTAGAATAATATTCATCCATTTTAAAGGATATTTTTAATTGGACTGATTTTAACTTCTAGCAGACCAAATTAGACTTAAATAAACATGATCGCACCAGACTTAAACAATACTCATTCCGGTTCTCAAACAACTTCCCACTTTCCTTTTCGGGAAGTCCCGAAATTAACTTCACGCTTCTTCTTATTTCCTTATTTGGCAAATTATCTACACCAAAACAGTGCAAAACAGTGCCAAACAGTGCCAAACAATGCCAAACAGTGCCAAACAGTGCACTCCACAGTAAAGTCAAATTTATTTTCTTAATCTGTGTGAAGTCAAACTGTGAAACTCTTTGAGAACCGGAGGGAGTAGTAAATTACAAATAAAACAGACCTTTCTCACACCAAACCAAACCAAACTTAGACAACCAGAATAGAAAATTTCAGTCCAATTAAGAGCTCGTTTGGTAGCATGAAAATTGGCTGATTTGGCTTATTCTGCTGAAATTTATGAAATTCTGGCTGAAGTGGCTGCATTGGCTGATTCTGCTGATTTAAGAAAAAAATACTTTTAAAATATATTTTATTGATAAAATAAAGAAAAAGTTATATGTAAAAATAGCTAAAATAGTCATCTACAGTAACTTCAGCCAATACAGCCAAAAAAGTAGCTTCAACCTTACTTTTTCTGCTTATTACACAATTCAGCGCGCGAAAGCAAATATTACGTGTTTGGTGAAAAAAGTTGGTTGATAAGCCTGATAAGTCGATAAACAGTGTTACCAAACGGCCCCTAAAAAAGCTATCCTGAGCTACAATCTTCAAAGTTGAAAGGCTCACTATTTTGTCAAAAAGTTCGCCCCCTGTTATGAATTCCAAGATAATGTAAATCTTTGTGCGGCTTGCTATAACCTGACATTAGCATTCATTTTAGCCAGCAAAGAGTTCGAACGAAAGTACTAAAAAATACTCAGACAAGAAAATTTTAGCCTGATAGGAAAAGCCAAATTTTAGGTTTTTTTAACCCATGCCTCGTGTAATCGAACGACATAAGGATGCCTGACAAGTTTCATGATAGATATCTCTCTCTTAATCTGCAGGAAGAAAATGCAGAAGCTGTTACCAAATGAATGGAAAATCAAATGCTGCCAATAACTCCAATAGACACAACAATCAAATTGAAGATCGTTTTTTATGCATACACAGGTAAGGAACTATTTACAGGTTTTTAGCAAAATCACCTGGTCAGCCATCTTATGCTTGATGATGGCGCTGCGATCAATGACCTTCATAGCTACGCTCTCGCCAGTCTCGGTGTTCTGAGCGAACTTCACCTTCGCGAAAGTTCCTTCCCCTACTGTCCTACCCACCTCATACTTCCCAACCTTCCTCACCACCATCTTTCAATTACTCTGTGTTTCTTGCGCCAATTTCCCTTGGAATCATTTGATTCCTGGAACTTTGCAGAGTAAAGGCAAGTTAAGCTGAGGAGGAAGCTTCGTTTGGCTGCGCTGCGCTGTTTGGGGGGATTTCTTTTTTTAAAGAATGAAAATTTCCGACAACAGAAAACAAGTGAATTTGATTGACGTATCGGAGAAAGATTTGGTGTTTGGCAGCGCTGTCTATTTTACCGGAAGGGAATGAACAGGGAGAGGTAAATGATTGAGTTTCTGAAAGTGGGGTAAATAGACTGAAACTCCTACTGTACTGCTAAGTGCAGTACACTTGGACAGGAAAAAATATACGGGGTGGACATTTCGGTTTTCGGTTCGGTTTTGTTCGGTTTCGGTTCGATTTCGGTTTAATCGATTTGATAGAAAATGTATCAAATACAAACCGATTAAGTTTCGGTTTGGTTTCGGTTTGGTATGGTTCGGTTCGGTTTGAAGTTCGGTTTACCAAAGTATTAAGATTTGGATTGAAAAAAAAATAACTCAAAATAATGAACCAAGACACGATAGTAATGAACCAAATATAATGTTAGATATAAATTTGCAAACATTAACAAAACACATATGAACTAAAAATATATAAGCATGACACATTTGTAAGCAACAACAACAACGTGAATGAATCAAATTATATATAAAGTAAAAAAAAAATTGATGCTCGTAAGTAATGAACCAAATATATAGTAGTAGTAGATAATAAATTATAGTTAAATACTATCTACTTAAACCACTATAATTCTTATAGTTGTGATTGTAATTCTTGTAGTAAACTCTAGTCCCGGACATTAAAATTAAAGAATTAAAACTTCAAAAACATTAACATCAATCAAATTAATGAGAGAAATCTTATATTTTGTTTGGTTTAGTTTGGTGTAAGTAGGTTTTGATTTGTTATTTTAAAAAAATAAGAAATTATTTCATTTTTAGATTAGTTCGGTTTTATTCGGTTTTATTCGATTTTATGATTTCGGTTCGGTTTGGTTTGGTTCGTTTTAATACGATTTGGAAGGAATACTACCAAACTCAAACCAAACTACAAATGGTTCGATTTCGGTTCAGTTTAATTCGGTTTGGTACGGTTCGGTCAAACCGAACCGTTATGCCCACCCCTAAAATATACAGTATACTCCCTAATAAAAAGGAAAAATTGATATGAATAATCCATACTTTCGGTAATTAAACAAAAATAATCCTTAATTTTTAATTGTACTCCGTATATAAGTAATCCAAACCCATTATCAGTGTGCCACAAGTAGAATAAATGAGACGGACATATACTTCCGTCCAAACCACCGTTCAAGTTACGTGAATCTGCCATAGTCAATCTAATTTTTCACTATTCATAACTTGGTTTCTCATCTCGATCTCTCTAAAACCTAAATTGGGTATCTATGACCTCCTGCGATGATTTTGATGAAATTATTTCAAGATTCAGCCCCTCTGAAACACAAGCATCGAATGAAAAGTGAAGTGCGATCTGTTGGAATTGGAAAATTTTTCTATTCAATATCAAGAACAGAATTACAATAGGAGGAGCAAACTCTCACACTCAACTATTACAAAAAACCAATCCTCACCAATACATTTCTACACTAAGTGTATTTCACTCTTCACACACTTTTCTCACTTTCTAAACTGATACTATGAACAACAATGGAGCACTCTATTTATAGGGCTGGTTTGGAGACATGAGGAAGTTGCATCCAAGCTTCCTAGTTATCTCCATATCTTTTCCCACACCTATTTGTTGGAGAGCTCTTTCCAAGAAGGTGCCTCCATGTTAAGGTGTCTCTTGGCAACTTCCAAGAAAGAAGGTGGAAGATACCTACAAATCTCCCCCTCCACCTTTTTCTTTATTTCTCTCGTTCCTGAGGTGCTCACTGGCTCCCCCTCGCTGGTAACAAGTATCCATTCGGATGTGGAGTATTTTCTTTGTGGAACTATGCCTCGCATAGAACGTCGAACATGAATACCTTCAGATTCGTCTTCAGATGAAGGCTCCCCCTGCTGAGGAATATCATCACCGTGAGTATCATCATCACCTGCTGAACCATCACTCTCGTGTTCAGTAGAATCATGCATCTCCTCGTCGCTGAGAGGAATGTTTGATGATACAGGCACTTCGTCTTCTGGAGTATGTTGTTGGCGGATTACTGGAGCACACTCATGAAACTCGTTTTCATGAAATACAACATCTCTGCTTCGAATAACTTTCTTCACTTCGGGATCCCACAACCGGTATCTGAATTCTTCATCTCCATAGCCGATGAAGATACATGGGTTTGACTTGAGATCAAGCTTCTGTCTCAACTCCTTGGACACATGTGCAAATGCCTTGCACCCGAACACTTTCAAGTGAGAGTAAGAAACATCTCTTCCTGACCATTTCTTCTCTGGCACTTCAAAGTTTAAAGGAACAGAAGGTGACTTGTTTATAAGATAACAAGTTGTCAGCACAACTTCACCCCAAAATGGCTTAGGTAGCTTAGCCAGACTCAACATGCAACGAACTTTCTCCATAATGGTCCGATTCATTCTTTCGGCTACACCATTGTGTTGCGGAGTTCGTGGAACCGTCTTCTCATGTCTGATTCCATATGCGGCACAATATGCTGAGAATTCTCGGGAAGTGTACTCTCCTCCATTGTCTGAACGCAGACACTTCAGCTTCTTCCCTGTTTCTCTTTCTACCATGGCATGAAATGATTTGAATCGATCAAACACTTGATCCTTACGATTTAAACAGTAGGCCCATACCTTTCGTGATGCATCATCAATGAATGTCACGAAGTATCTGCTTCCTCCAAGTGACTCCTCTTCAATGGGTCCACATACATCAGAGTGGACAAGACTGAGTAACTCTGTATGGTTCTTCTTGGTAGAACTGAAGGAAACCTTGTGTTGTTTCCCAAATAGACAGTGCTCGCATGAATCTAGGGCAACACCTTTGCCCATGGAAATGACTTCCTTCTTTGCAAGAGTTGTCAATCCCTTCACGCTCAAGTGACCTAACCTCCGGTGCCACAAGTTAGGTGATATCTCTTCTTCAACAGCATTGAGACTCAGATGACACAACTTTGCATGAGTTTTATAAAGAGTGCCACAAATATGGCCTCTTGCAACAACCAAGGAACCTTTAGATAGCTTCCACGTACCTTCTTTGAATCGGTTAAGATATCCTTGTTGATCCAGAGCTGTACCGGAGATAAGATTCAATCTAAGATCCGGAACGTGTCGAACATCTTTCAACACAAGTGCGCATCCGACATTGGTTATTATGTGCACATCACCAATGCCAACAATCTTCGAGAAACTGGTGTTTCCCATCTTCACAGCTCCAAAGTCTCCGGACTTATAAGTTGTGAATAAGTTCTGGTGTGGAGTGGCGTGAAATGATGCGGCTGTATCAATCACCCACTCAACATCATGAGTGCCTACGTGTAAACATTCTTGTTCACCATGTGTAACAAGACACACGTCTGATGACAAACTAACCATGGTCTCACCATCTTCTTGGCTAGTATTTTGACTCCTCTGTGGCTTCTCTCGTAGAAACTTTCTACAATCTCTTTTCCTATGTCCATAATTACTACAGTAATTGCAATATCCTTCGAACCAAGTATTGTTTTCAAAGGACATACCTCTCTCTTGTGATCTTCCGCGAACTTGAGAATTTCCCCTACTTTGACCTTGACCTCTACCTCGACCTCGACTTCTTCCTCCATTTCTGCCTCTCCCTCGTCTGTTAGTTTCTGATATGAGGACATATGATTGTTCCGTCCCGGCTTCCTTCCTTCGGGCTTCTTCATTCATCAGGGCATCTGTGACCATCTGCATAGTCACCTTCCCATTTGGAGCAGAATTACTGAGAGTGACAACAAGAGTCTCCCAGCTGTCAGCTAGAGAGCTCAAGAGTAGTATCGCCTGCTCTTCATCTTTGAGAACCCATCCGGTGGTGCTCAACTGATTCACAAGATCCTTGAATTGACTGGTGTATTCTGACACCGAAATACCCCCACGTAATTTGTGGTTTACTAATCTCCTCATTAGTAACGTCTTATTTCGGGCGGTTTTTGCTTGATACATGCTACCAAGCTTCTCCCATAGTGTGTAAGCACTTTGTTCTTGAGCAACATGGTGGAACACACTATGATCTATCCATTGTCGAATTTGTGCGACAGTTTTTCGATTCATTTTTGTCCATTCTTCATCCGTCTTTTTATCCGGTTTCACACCATTATTATCAAGAGGATCCGCTAAATCCCTCAAATTTAGCAAATCCTCCATCCGAGGCTTCCACATATTGTAGTTTGTGGATGTGAGCGCAATCATGGTGTCCGACGATGATTTATCCATAATAAAACGCTCTATATATCTCGTACCTTATTTTCGAAGCCGAATTTGGACAAACGGAGCTCACCGTTGGATCCGGAATGGCCGAAAATGGTAAGAACCGGTCTGACCTCGTCCAAAACTGGTCTGGAAACGGATGAACCGGCCTCCAAAAGCACGAACCGGTTCAGTCCGATTCAGGCAGCAGCCCAGCCTGCAGCCCAGCAGGCGAATGACGTGGCTCTGCTCCCTCGCTGACGTGGCGATGATGTGTAGCCACGTGGCGTCTGACGTGCTCACAGCGGACGGCTCGGGTGGATGACGTGGCGGATGACTCGGCACCACGCGTCACTGACGTGGTCCAACGTGTCGATGACGTGGCAGCTGACGTGGATCGTCTTCTTCCTCTGGACTGCGTGATGACGCAGTGATGATGCAGGCAGTTTTCCGGCGGCGCGTACGGCCTCTTCCGGTGGCCAATAAAATCCCCAAAAATACCATATTTCTCGTCTCGCCGAGACGAATCTAACGATATGATCAGATCCTGATTCCGAGCAACTTGAAAAATCACGATTTTCTAACCTGTAGAAATTTATCTGAAAATGAGAAAACAGTGTATGGAAACTCAACGTCGCTCTGATACCACTTGTTGGGATTGGAAAATTCTTCTATTCAATATCAAGAACAGAATTACAATAGGAGGAGCAAACTCTCACACTCAACTATTACAAAAAACCAATCCTCACCAATATACTTCTACACTAAGTGTATTTCACTCTTCACTCACTTTTCTCACTTTCTAAACTGATACTATGAACAACAATGAAGCACTCTATTTATAGGGCTGGTTTGGAGACATGAGGAAGTTGCATCCAAGCTTCCTAGTTATCTCCATATCTTCTCCCACACCTATTTGTTGGAGAACTCTTTCCAAGAAGGTGCCTCCATGTTAAGGTGTCTCTTGGCAACTTCCAAGAAAGAAGGTGGAAGATACCTACACGATCATGGCGTTTCTTCACCATTGCAGACGGTTTCCTCAAGGCCAAACAAGGGAAAGAGATTTTATGGTTGTCCCTGATGGAAGGTAAGAAAATAGAATTTTATAGTTATGAAATACCATAATCTGGTTACTTTTGAATTTTAGAAGTCATAAATGTTTTGGGAAAGGAGCAATAAAGTTGAAAGAATTATGTATTATCTTGAAAAATCAGTTTATCTCAAACTAACCATAAGTGTACTTATATTCAAATTGTTGCTTAAACTTGTTGTTTTTATTTTGCAGAGTGATAATTGTAATTTTTCTTGTGGGAGCACGATAAAGGAGGAGGGTGCTGTGGTAGGCGCGTGACGGCCAACAATATCACTTAGTCACATCACATGACATGAATCGAAATATGAATATCGCTACAGCTAGGTCGTCGCCCGTAAGCGACGCGTCATCCCTCCGCCTGGGGGTGGTGTCAAATGGGCAAGGGCGCGCTACACTTCATAGGTCTGGGTGTGGTGATAAGAATGCTAAGGCTGCTAGGTCGTCGCCCGGAAGCGATGCGCCACTCCAATGCCCGGGAATGGTGTCAAATATGCAAGGGCATGGTGGGGGTCGATGTGGGGTGAAGAAGAGAAGGCAAGGTGTTAGATTGCGCTTTGGGACATGGAATGTTGGCTCTCTTACGGGAAGATCATCTGAGATAGCTGAGGTTATGAAGAGGAGAAATATCAGCATAATGTGCATGCAAGAAACTAAGTGGGTTGGAGAAAAGGCACGCGAGATTAATCCCGGAGGTTTTAAGCTTTGGTACTCAGGGAGAGAGAGGAACAAAAATGGAGTAGGCATTATGGTGGCACATGATTATGTTGACGGTGTGGTTGAAGTGTTTAGGAAGAACGATCGCATCATGAGCATTAAGTTGATAATGGGGGATGAGATTGTGTCTGTGGTTTGTGCCTATGCACCACAAGTGGGATTCGATGCATCTATCACTCAACAATTTTGGGAGGATCTTGAGGAAGTGGTGCGACAAGTGCCAAGGGGAGAGAAACTGGTCATAGGAGGCGACCTCAACGGGCATGTGGGCCCAAGTCGTGATGGTTTTGAGAGTGTCCATGGCGGACATGGTTTTGGCACTAGAAATGAAGCGGGGAAGAACATTCTGGATTTTGCCTCGACATATGAGTTGACTGTGATGAACACTTGGTTCAAGAAAAGAGACTCTCACCTTGTCACCTATAGAAGTGGAGCTAATAGTACCCAAATTGACTACTTTTTAGTACGGACGACTTGGAGAACTAGCTACACTGATTGTAAGGTTATCCCAGATGAGAGTGCTGTCACTCAGCATAGGATGCTTGTGCTTGATTTTCGAGGTAAAAAGAGTGGACGAGTTAAGGTACAAGGGGAGCCAAAGATAAAATGGTGGAGGCTCGAGGGGAATCTCCAACAAAGTTTTGCACACAAAATGTTGGAGGAAGATGTTTGGTCTGTTGATAATGACACACATGTGGATGATGTGTGGTTACCAATGGAGTCCACCATTAACAAAGTGGCGAAGGAGATACTCGGAGAATCTAAAGGATGTCTGCCACCAAAAAAAGACACATCTTGGTGGAATGATGAGGTGAAACAAGCAATAAGGGCCAAAAGAGAATGCTATAAGAAATTGGGAAAAAGTTGGAACGACGAGAACATAGAGGAGTACAAAGAGGCTAGAAGAAGAGCAAAGAAAGTTGTGAAGGAAGCCAAAGGAAAAGTGAATAAGGAATTGTATGTAAAGTTGGATTCTAAGGAAGGAGAAAAAGATATCTACAGATTTGCTCGCCTTCGTGACCGTAGGACTCAAGATATCGGAAAAGTTAAGTGTGTGAAGGATGTCGATCAAAGGGTACTAATGGACGATGAAGAAATAAAAGAGAGGTGGAGGTCATACTTTGATACCTTGTTCAACGGGAATAAAGTCCAAGGTATTGATGATCTTACTATACCAGAGTGTATGGTAAATAGGGATTTCGTGAGAAGGATTCAAACAACAGAAGTTAAAGAGGCTATGAGAAAAATGGACCGGAAGAAAGCAGTGGGCCCAGATGGCATACCGATCGAGGCTTGGAGAAGTTTGGGAGAGAAAGGCATCGAGTGGCTAACACGTTTCTTCAACATGATCTGGAGAAACAACAAAATGCTAGTGAGTTGGCGGAAGAGTACTCTCATTCCCTTATTTAAAAATAAGGGTGATGTGCAAGAATGTGCTAACTATCGAGGGATTAAGCTTATGAGTCACACCATGAAACTTTGGGAGCGAGTGGTTGAGCAAAGACTACGTAAAAATGTGAAAATTTCGGAGAATCAATTTGGTTTTATGCCTGGACGCTCAACAACTGAGGCCATTCACCTTCTTAGACAAGTTGTGGAGAAATATAGAGACACTAAAAAGGATCTGCATTTGGTGTTCATTGACTTAGAAAAGGCATATGATAGGGTACCTCGAGAAGTCCTTTGGTGGGCCTTAACTAGAAAAGGCATATCACGTAAGTATATCAACATCATCATGGATATGTATGATGCTTGTACTACAAGTGTCCGCACTAGTGTAGGGAGGACCGCAGAGTTCCCTATTACTATTGGAGTGCACCAAGGATCCGCTCTGAGTCCTTTCTTATTTGCTTTAGTCATGGATGAACTTACGAAGTCAATTCAAGAAGATATACCGTGGTGCATGATGTTTGCCGACGATATTGTATTGATTGATGAGACACAATCCGGTGTTAAAGCAAAGTTGGAAGTATGGCGACAAACATTGGAGAGCAAGAGTTTCAAACTGAGCCAAAGCAAGACTGAGTATATGGAGTGCAAGTTCGGTGGAGGTAGAAGCGGTAGCAACAGTGGGATTACTCTTGATGGTAAGGAGATACCGGTGTGTGATATGTTCCGTTACTTGGGATCCATAATTCAGAAGGATGGTGAATTAGATGGAGATGTGTGTCATAGAATCAGAGCTGGGTGAATGAAATGGAAAAGTGCTTCAGGATTTCTATGCGATCGAGGTATGTCGACTAAATCGAAAGGTAAATTTTATCGTACAGCAATTAGGCCGGCATTAATGTATGGCGTAGAGTGTTGGGCGGTGAAGCAATGCCACATTCAAAAGATGAGTGTGACAGAGATGCGTATGTTGCGTTGGATGTGTGGACATACCAAAAAAGACCGCCTGAGGAATGAGGTAATCAGACAAAAGGTGGGAGTAGCACCTATAGAAGATAAGATGCAGGAGTCTCGTTTGCGGTGGTTTGGGCATGTGCATAGAAGACCGAGTGATGCACCTGTTAGACGACTTGAGGGGTGGGGAGAAGAGTCAGAGAAGAGAGGGAGGGGAAGACCCAAACAGACTTGGATTAGAGTAATCAGAACTGATATGCGTCTTCTTGGGTTGGATGAGAGTATGGCCTTGGAGAGAGCAAAGTGGAGGGCGCACATCCATGTGGACGATTGATGTCTTGTCTACCTTTCCTCTCTTGTTTCTTTTATCGCTTATCTTCCTTATCTTTTTATATTCTTATGTTATTTTTATCTTCTAGCTTTTTTATGTTCTTTTATTTCTTTTTCTTTTATCTTGGTTATATTCTTGTGTTATTGTTATCTTATATTTATGTATCTTTATTTTAATCATTTTATCTTACTTTTTTTCCTTTTCTTGTCCGCCTTCTCTTTTTGGCATCGATATCATAGATCGATTCATGTTAGCCGACCCCAAATTCTTTTGGGATTAAGGCTTGGATGTTGTTGTTGTTGTTGTGGAGCACAATTCAAGTTGAATGAGCTGGATCAAATTGAAAAGTTTAGGATGAAGAAACGTCAATACAAAGGAGATGCTAATAGAGCATGAATTGCAGAAAAGAATGCTATTTAGTGTCTTCTTTTAATCTGGTTCTCAACAGAAGTGATTTTATCTATTTGGGTTGGTAGGATATAGCAATGAAGGAAAAATGTGTTACTGAATTATTGATTTTGTAATGGAGTTACTCTTGTGTGTTATTATTATATTATGTTAATTAGTTTTGATGGTACTGGAATGAATTTGGAAGTTAAATTTCATCATTCTATTTTGAAATGCTGGCAAAGTTTTCATGATTGAGTAACAATAGACTACAAAATCAGTTTGGAATTTTGATGTATTCCATGTTGCAACCAAACTTGTGTCATATTTTGCAAGCTTGATGGCCACAAACATCTGCCATTGATTTGCAAGCTTGATGAGCTTCTGCCACAACAGACCTTTTTGGTCTTGGAAAATAATGACAGAATCCAGGAGCTTCTTTTTTATGTTATTTGGTGAACTTGGAGTGTCAATTTCCTGGTTCCCTTTTGGAATGATAGCAACATTTTCATAAATTAGAATACACTCAAACACAAAATTTGAAGCTATAGCAGTAGCCTGTTGAAAAATATAGCTCTATAAAGTTGTATTATAAATCATAACTGATTTTCCATCTAACCTATTTTCAAAAATATGCAGGTAGAATAGAAATACAACAACATTCTGCCATAGAACCATATCTAGCATCTTAGACATGCTACTGCCACTAAAATCTTTCAAAATTACACACCACATTGGGCTGCATAAGAAACTATCTAGGACAGAAGCATTAGAGCATCTTCAATAAGCATGTGCATTGTTAAAAATGCATTGCCACGTTTGCAAAATGAACAGTCATGTAAAAAAATGGTCTCCAGTGCAAATGTGTTTAGGATGTGAGGTGTTGAGTTGGATAAAAAATAAAACCACATTGTGAAGTTGGGCATGCGATTTCAGAAAGCCCGTGAGGGTGAGACAGGCTTTCAAGGCAAAATTAATTGCGCCTAAAAAATTGCTGCGGAACTGGTCGAACCGTTACAAATTGGGATCTCCCCAAACTCTTTTCTTCTTGCGTAAAAAAAGAATAAGAAGTCTTCTTGCGTCAAAGAGAAAGAGAAGAGGCTCGACAACTACAGGTAATGTTTTACTTCATGATCTTTGAGTTGATATTTTCCATGGATTCCTGGTTTGATCTAAGGAGCCCAAAATTTCTCAGTCATCAAGCAATTAGATCGTTTATGTTTTGTGTAATTGAACTATTTTTGTACTATTTTTCAAAATTTCTGTAGCGAAGGTAGTTCTCTTTCTCCAATTCTTCTTCTTCTTCTTTGATTTCCAGTGCTTGGTTTGTGTTATTTGCGTAATGTTAGCCTGACTTCTTGAGTTTATATCCAAAAAACGGATATCTTATACAGAGAGAGGAATCGAATACCTCAAATAAATACTATCGTATATGTTAATGGTTTCAGTCTCAAGTCTCAAACTTCAGTAGTTGCTCTCATAAATCCATGTATTCTCCAAAAATAGTCATCTTCAATTTGTCCGGGATGTAGCCTTCAATTTCTATGTTTTACTTTTCAAATTGTTTCGTGTGAATAAAAGAACAAAAAGGAATAACATTTATCTGTTTACAAGTCCTCTCCTTTAATTTCTTTTCTATTAATTTTACAAGGTTATTTTTGGAGTGCCCTAGTATTGATGGTTCTATGGTAGGCACTCCGCACTCATACTTGTGATTTACTCCGTATATGATATTTGTGGAGTCTTTGAGGGCCTTCATCTATTTCTTTCTGGATTGCATTGCCTTGACTTTTCCTGTGCAAATATGTACTACGTATAATCCTTGAATCTTTCTAGGCGTAGGACTGATTGTTAGCAGCGGAATTTTTAACCGCTGGAATAACAGATATATTCACTCGGACATTTGGAATGAAGTTGGAATGGAATCACAGATATATTCTAAATAGTTGTTTACCGGACTGGAGACGAAGGCTACCGGACTGGAGTCACTGGAAAAGAAGGGAACTGGAGAAGAAGGCTACAAGGACAGAGTTTTTCTTGAAGGAGCTAGGATGAAGTTACGTGCACTAATAGAAAAATAGGTTAATTAAAAACACGGAGTATTTTAAATAAGGGATGAAACGTCGAAAACAAACGGTCCTATTGGAGGAGAAATTTTATTTTGAGTGTCTACTTGTCCATGTCAGCACAACATTCCTTCGCACATCAATCCACATAAATGATGTGTTCACTTTTTGTGTTATACAATCCACATGCCCACCGGAGATGCTCTTAGGCACCAAAAATAGGTCCATACAAAATGATAGGCTCCATTAGCCAAGAAAAAACTATCTAGGATAGAAGCATTACGCACCAAAAATAGGTCCATACAAAATGATAGGCTCCATTAGCGAACAAAAAATTAAACATTTCAGTAGCATCAGTGCAGAAAGTTATAACCCATTAAACACCATATCTGGCTACAACAAATTTCAAAATTACATATCCAAATGTATGCTGCACTAGACAAGAAAAGCTATCCAACCTTCTCCAGTTGATGACTCTAAACAAATTTGTAATTTGGACAGAAACCATTCCATCTCTCCCCACTGCAACTAACAACATCGCTCCCAAAAATGTCTTCATAAAGTAACCATCTAAACATATTACTCTTCGACAACTACTTAACAGACCGCATTTTAACCCTTCAAAGCAAAT